ATGGCAGAAAGTTTTTTTTATTAACATAATATATTGTACTTCTGAACTATTTTCATTGTAAGCAAGGTTTCAAGGTTATTTATGGTGTTCCTTAATTGGCTAAAGTTAGGCAAACATTGCTATAATAAAAATAATAATCTCTTTTGTCTAATAAATATATCTATTAAATAGGAAAATGCACAGAAACAGAATGCTAGTCTTTTTTTAAAAAACAGTTATAAAACATCAAAACAGAAATACAAATGAAAAATAATTTATATTTAAAGTAATTGATATGATGACATATTGAAAGAATAACTTACATTTACATCTAAAATTTGTTTTAATTTTAAATGTAATAAAGAACATCCAGTTACCTGAAACTGTTATAAAAGTGTACTCACACTGGAGTGCTTCCAAACAAAAAACAAATGGTGGAGCATTTGAAAAAAGCATTTCTGCTTCTCTGAATGGAGCCTGGCAGATTTTAGTTGATCATAAAACTTAACCAATGATTTTAAAAAACATCAAGTTTTCTTTTGCTTGATGCCGTTCCTAATAATAAAGAATATATTTGTAATTACAAATTGATAGCTGTAGATTGATCTATATGTAAAAATGTATATTGTATTTACATTATATGTGTACAGAATTCAACCTCCCTAAAATGAACATGAATTCTTTCTAAGGACAGCCTTACACTATGTGATAATCACAGTCAAGGAGTCTATCTTAAGCAATATGTTTGCTTCCAGCAATTTGTGATCGCCAATGATTGCATGAATGCACTATAATGGGGTTTGTTTCATTCTGGAAATCAAGATTCTGAGCAAATGATTCAGTCACCTCCTGTACATCGGTAGTCCAAATCACAGCTGTTTGTAAAGATTACATTCTAAACAGTGGGTTGTTATATATATTTTGGTACTTGGCCAAAATGATAACCTCGCTTCCAATACCACCTCTATGTTGACAACACCCAGATCTATCTTTCTACTTCACTGCTCACACCCCCTCAATCTCCTCACGTATCACAAATCTACTGAGCGACATACCAGTATGGATGTCACACCACTTCCTAAAACTCACTCTTTCTTAAACTGAGCTTGTAATATTTCCTCCTCCCTGATCCCCCAGTCATGATTTTACCATTAAGATCAACAGCACAACCATTGGTCCCTCTGCACAGGTCAGGGTGCTAGGTGTAATCCTAGACTCTAACATCTTCTTTGGGCCCCACAGCCAATCACTGGCTAAATCCTGCAGCCTTAACATTTCCAGAATTCCTTCCTGACTAACGACACCAGAAAACATCTTATCCACGCCTTGGTTATATCCCACCTTGATTACTGCAACTCCCTCCTCACTGGTCTACCTTTCCACGGGCTATCCCCCCTTCAGTCTATTATGAATGCTGCTAGACTTAGACACCTTACCAACCAATGTATGACTTCTGCCCCTCTGCTAATCCCTTTAATGGTTTCCACTAGCCCAAAGTATACATTTCAAAATACTAACCACAACATACAAAGCCATCCACAACATAGCCCCAGCTACATCACTGACCTCATCTGCATATATCGTCCAAATCGTCCGCTCCACTCCTCCCAAGACATCTTGCTCTATACAGAAGGAATAGGAGGGACCTACTCATGGCGCTTACAATCTAAAGGAGGGGGAAGGTGGTACAAAAGGTGATAGTTGTGGTGGATGATCTGGTGGAGGTGATTCTAGTAAAGTTCTTAGGTGGAGGTGGGGTGGGCTTCCCAGAATAAGTGAGATTTCAAAGATCACCTAAAGGAGGACTGAATTGTAATTGTATTGTCCCTCTTTATATTGTATTTGCTGCGTAAGCTATTGGCGCTATATAAATCCTGTATAATAATAATACTTTTTGGTTCATAGTACTCAAATCAGCACATACAGTATGACACAAAGATTCTTTTCTTAGTCTCACCCTTTGTACATCATTTGTCACTGCAGAAATTGAATTGCCATACATGCTTTTAGCCTGCTCCAGATGGTAGACAATCTCTCTGGCTTCAGTTGAATTTAACTGCAGGCTGATAGATTCCAGATTGTGAATGTGCACTTCCCACATCTCTTTTTCCTGATAAATTCCTGCCATTACACCCTTGGCTTTAATCTCAGCAAGAGGTTCATGTTTGAGTACAACCTGTAGAGAAAGATTATATGAGTGAATAAAAGAATAACAAAGGAATAAAAGGAATAATGACTTGAAATAAATCTGTGCTTTGCCCCACCAGATGCTTATACTTAAGTCCCCTTCACACTCCTGCAGCTGCAGCTCCATTTTCCCTCTAAGATCAAAGAGAGTTAGCACTAGGTATACTCCTAATTGTGACTTGGAGCTTACACAAGCAGTGTACCTGAGTGGTCAAGTAACAGCACTGCCACCTTGGATCAATGGCAGTAAGACAAATGTTCTCAATACCCAGCAGTACTGGACATGGTGAGGTATCTGGTAGGATCACATTAAAGTGAACCTGTTGCTTTGTCCTCTATAAAACAATTGCACAATACCTTTTATTTATTATTTTTTAGAGGGTTTAATTTTTTACACTCCATTCACTAAACGTTACTTTTTTCATATAGGGCAGGGGTGTCAAACTGGTGTCCCTCCAGCTGTTGCAGAACTACAAGTCCCATCATATAAGTCAATGGTTAAGCACAATACCCACTAAACTCATCCTAATCTTACCCCCAAGATAAGTCAGCAAAATTATGTACTTTCACCCCTGAAAGTAAAGAGATATTCTTATAGCAATACAATGCAGACTTTCTTTCAACAGAAAAATAAATATAGAAAAATAAAGACTAAATAACAACAAAATAAATCAATCAAAAAAAGTCCCAAAAGTTAATCACAATTCGAATATCTCGAATAGAGATCTACAGTCAGGTCCATAAATATTGGGACATCGACACAATTCTAACATTTTTGGCTTTATACACCACCACAATGGATTTGAAATGAAATGAACAAGATGTGCTTTAACTGCAGACAGTCAGCTTTAATTTGAGGGTATTTACATCCAAATCAGATGAACGGTGTAGGAATTACAACAGATTGCATATGTGCCTCCCACTTGTTAAGGGACCAAAAGTAATGGGACAATTGGCATCTCAGCTGTTCCATAGCCAGGTGTGTTTTATTCCCTCATTAACCCAATTACAATGAGCAGATAAAAGGTCCAGAGTTCATTTCAAGTGTGCTATTTGCATTTGGAATCTGTTGCTGTCAACTCTCAAGATGAGATCCAAAGTGAAGCAAGCCATCATTAGGCTGAAAAAACAAAACAACCCCATCAGAGAGATAGCAAAAACATTAGGCGTGGCCAAAACAACTGTTTGGAACATTCTTAAAAAGAATGTGATATGGGCCTTGGTGTATGTTTCCCATGAGCCCCTGTACCTAGTATCCTGTGTTCCTGCCTCGATGCTGACCCTGCTTGATCCTGACCTCTGCTGACCGTCTCCTGTTGAACCCCTGGCTTGCCTGACCATCCTTCTGCCTGATCCTCTGTACCGTGCTGCCCGCTACCTGCTGAACCTGGCTTGTGACCCCGACCATTCTCTGCTTGCTCCTCCTGTACCACGCTGCCCGCACGATACCGACCCAGCCTGTCTTGACTACGCTTACTTCACCCGACGATCCATCCATCCTGCACGGATCACCTCTAGTAAGTCTGCCTGCCTCTTCCCATCAGACTCTGTTCCTGCACTCCCCTGCCAGTACTCGCTACCACAGCCGGACGCACTCAGGGGTCACAACCTGGTTCCAGTCTGCACCAAGTCCATCCCCACCATCAGGGGCCCTGGTGAATAGCAGGCTGGGACTTAGACCCCGCTCCCTGAGGAAATCCGTGCTGTGGGCTCAGCCTGCCTGACCACTCCACCTCTCCAGCCCTGACTGCACTGGTACTTATTCGTTTAAGGCTTATTGCACCTGGTTGTACATATTTATGTATGTGTTGAGTTTGATTGTTTGCACTGCGTTTATTTTTGTGTTGTCTTTAATAAATTATATTGTGTTACACGCTATACTTGAAGTCTGTGTTTCCCTATGTCGATCCACACACCTCTGGTCATACCTGGAGCCCTGACATTACACCAAGGCCATTCCTGACCAGAAGTGGCTGCACAGGGAAGCCATCTTGGCTTGTTGTGAAGGATGCATCCTGATGAGGTAGTGTATTTGTCTCTGCTGGTCTTTGATGACAGAGATTATGCTTATCAGACTCTGAAGGAGTATACCAGGAATCAACTGCTAGAATGTATACGGGTCACTCATGTTCTAGTAGATCAGGGCACAGAGTTCTCTGAGGTGCAACCTTTGATTCAGGTTTGTGTAGAGTTGGCTTCATCTGGTACCCCTGAAAGCAGGAATGACTTTTTGCCGCCATTTAGTGCCGACCAGGTAGAGTCCCTGGTGTGGTTATTGGAGGATGATGTGGATTACTTCTTGGAGCGTTATTCTGCATGTTCACAACAGGTGCTAAGAGATTGTATAAACGCAGTACAGTCTTTGACCAGACAGGCTTTGTGTAAGCTGAGCTTTGTTCAGCCAGTACTGCAGATATGGTCAGAGTTGTTACACCCAACCTCAGTCAGCTTGCAACAAACCAGTCCTGCTTCTCATCATTTCTCTGCTCAAAGGTCTCTTCCTACACTCCCGACAGCACCCCCAGTGACAGCCCAGCATACCCTACTACCTACCACTTGTCCGTACCCTTCTCCCACTTGCTGCACCTATCCTGCCTTTAACCCTGTAAAGAAGTCCTCTGTAGCAACTGCTCCTTCTTTTGTTCCATCCCCCAGCTCTTCTCTGCCTACAGCTGCTCCATCTGTTTACCAACCTGCACTTACTTACAGTGCTCCAGTAACTAAAACCAGGAAAAGGCGAAAATTCTTTCCAACCAGTACCATTCTGCCAGTATCCAAATCGGTCAGTCTGCTGTCTGAGAACCCGCCTTCCATGGTTCAGCCTGATACCCTGATGCCTGATGACCCAGTGTACGCTACCCAGCCTGATGGTTCTGCCCGGCCTGATGGTTCTACCCAGCCTGATGGTTCTACCCAGCCTGATGGCTCTACCCAGCCTGATGTTCCTACCCGGCCTGATGATCCTATCATGCCAGATGACTCGGTGCCCGCTGTCGAGCCAGAGGACCTGATGCCAGATGACTTGGTGCCCGCTATCCTGCCAGATGACCTGGTGCCCGCTGTTGTGCCAGACAATCTGATGCCTGATGACCTGTTGCCCGCTGTCCTGCCAGATGACCTGTTGCCCACTGTCAAGCCAGACGATCCGATGTCTGATGACCCGATGCCTGCTGTCGAGCCAGACAATCTAATGCCTGATGACCCGGTGCCCTTTGTCGAACCAGATGACCCGGTACCCGCTGTCAAGCCAGATGACCTGATGCCAGATGACCCAATGCCCGCTGTTGAGCCAGATGACCTGATGCCTGATGACCCGATGCCTGCTGTCGAGCCAGATGACCTGATGCCTGATGACCCGATGCCTGCTGTCGAGCCTGATGCCTGATGACCCGATGCCTGATGACCCGGTGCCCGCTGTCGTGCCTGGGGACCCGATGCCCGCTGTCGAGCCAGATGACCCGGTGCCCGCTGTCGAGCCAGATGATCCAATGCCTGATGACCCGGTGCCCGCTGTCATGCCAGTTGACTCGGAGCCCGCTGTCGTTCCTGGTGACTCGGTGCCCGCTGTCGTGCCAGATGACTCGGTGCCTGCTGTCGTGCCAGATGACTCGGTGCCCGCTGTCGAGCTTGGTGACCCAGTGCCCGCGGTTCTGCCAGATGACTCGGTACCCGCTGTCTTCCCAGATGACTCGGTGCCCGCTGATGAGCTTGGTGACCCGGTGCCTGTGGTTCTGCTACATGGCTCGGGGCCCGCAGTCATGCCAGATGACTCGGTGCCCGATGTCTTGCCAGGTGACTTGGTGCCCGATGTCTTGCCAGATGACTTGGTGCTCGCTGTCTTGCCAGATGACTCGGTGCCCACGGTCTTGCCAGGTGACTCAGTGCCCACGGTCTTGCCAGATGACTCGGTGGCCACGGTCTTGCCAGATGGCTCGGTGCCCACAGTCTTGCCAGATGACTCAGTGCCCATGGTCTTGCCAGATGACTCGGTGCCCGCTCTCTTACCAGATGACTCGGTACCCGCTGTTGTGCCAGATGACTCGGTGCCCGCTGTTGAGCTTGGTGACCCATTGCCCGTGGTTCTGCTAGATGGCTCGGGGCCCGCAGTCGTGCCAGATGACTCGGTGCCCGCTATCTTGCCAGATGACTCGGTGCCCGCGGTCTTGCCAGATGACTCGGTGCCCACGGTCTTGCCAGATGACTCGGTGCCCGCTGTCATGCCAGATGACTCGATGCCTGCTGTCTTGCCAGATGACTCGGAGCCCACTGTCTTGCCAGATGACTCGGTGCCCGCTGTCGAGCTTGGTGACCCGGTGCCCGCTGTCGTGCCAGATGACTCCGAGCCCGCTGTCGTGCCAGATGACTCAGAGCCCGCTGTCGTGCCAGATGACTCAGTGCCCGCGGTTCTGCCAGATGACTCGGAGCCCGCTGTCGTGCCAGATGACTCGGTGCCTGCTGTCGAGCTTGGTGACCCGGTGCCCGCGGTTCTGCCAGATGACTCGGAGCTCGCTGTCTTGCCAGATGACTCGGTGCCCGCTGTCTAGCTTGGTGACCCAGTGCCCGCGGTTCTGCCAGATGACTCAGAGCCCACTGTCATGCCAGATGACTTGGTGCCCACTGTCGAGCTTGGTGACACGGTGCCCGCGGTTCTGCCAGATGACTCGGAGCCCGCTGTCTTGCCAGATGACTCAGTGCCCGCTGTCGTGCCAGATGACTCGGTGCCCGCTGTCGTGCCAGATGACTCGGTGCCCGCTGTCGTGCCAGATGACTCAGTGCTCGCTGTCGAGCTTGGTGACCCAGTGCCCGTGGTTCTGCCAGATTACTCGGAGCCCGCTGTCGTGCCAGATGACTCGGTGCCCGCGGTTCTGCCAGATGACTCAGTGCCCACTGTCGTGCCAGATGACTCGGTGCCCGCTGTCGTGCCAGATGACTCGGTGCCCGCTGACGTGCCTCCGTCCGCTGCCCAACCTGACGTGCCTCCGTCCGCTGCCCAGCCTGACGTTCCTCCGTCTGCTGCCCAGCCTGACGTGCCTCCGCCCGCTGCCCAGCTAAACTGGCCAATAACTGATTCCCAGCCTGCTCCTGGAAATCCTGTGTCCAACGACCTGCCTTCCTGGGTTCCCCTACATAAAGAGAAGTCTGCTAGCAGGAAACCCAGCCAGCCGGTTGACCCCGGCAGTAGGATATTCAGCCAGTTACCTGACCCAGGCGGTGGAACATTTTGCCCACTAAGGACTGTTTGGAGCGTCCTGAGGCCGCTCCTTGAGGCGGAGGGTACTGTCAGGAATGGACTCAGCACTGGTGGTGGGACTCACCTGCCGTGTGGGCTGCAGTACCAGGGCTGACCAGCGGGTGCTCTCAGCAGCCAGAAGCTCACTCCTGTAGTCAGCCAACACCTGGGCTGATTGCAGGAGGTGTATTTAAGGAATGACCAGGCCTGTGATATGGGCCTTGGTGTATGTTTCCCATGAGCCCCTGTACCTGGTATCCTGTGTTCCTGCCTCGTTGCTGACCCTGCTTGATCCTGACCTCTGCTGACCGTCTCCTGTTGAACCCCTGGCTTGCCTGACCATCCTTCTGCCTGATCCTCGGTACCGCGCGCTGCCCGCTACCTGCTGAACCTGGCTTGTGACCCCGACCATTCTCTGCTTGCTCCTCCTGTACCACGCTGCCCGCACGATACTGACCCAGCCTGTCTGACTACGCTTACTTCACCCGACGATCCATCCATCCTGCACGGATCACCTCTAGTAAGTCTGCCTGCCTCTTCCCATCAGACTCCGTTCCTGCACTCCCCTGCCAGTACTCACTACCACAGCCGGACGCCCTCAGGGGTCGCGACCTGGTTCCAGTCTGCACCAAGTCCATCCCCACCATCAGGGGCCCTGGCGAATAGCAGGCTGGGACTTAGACCCTGCGCCCTGAGGAAATCCGTGCTGTGGGCTCGGCCTGCCTGACCGCTCCACCTCTCCAGCCCTGACTGCACTGGTACCTATTCGTTTAAGGTTTATTGCACCTGGTTGTACATATTTATGTATGTGTTGAGTTTGATTGTTTGCACTGCATTTATGTTTGTGTTGTCTTTAATAAATTATATTGTGTTACACGCTATACCTGAAGTCTGTGTTTCCTTGTGTCGGTCCACACACCTCTGGTCATACCTGGAGCCCTGACAGATGGGAAGAGAAAAGTATGGAGAAGGAAAGGAACTGCTCATTATCCTAAGCATACCACCTCATCAGTGAAGCATGGTGGTGGTGGTAGTGTCATGGCGTGGGCATGTATGGCTGCCAATGGAACTGGTTCTCTTGTATTTTTATTGATGATGTGACTGCTGACAAAAGCAGCAGGATGAATTCTGAAGTGTTTATTATACAGTTGCAAGAAAAAGTATGTGAACCCCTTGGGATTACGTGGAGTTTTGCATGAATTGGGCATAAAATGTGCTCTGAACGTCATCTAAGTCACAACAATAGAAGAACACAGTCTGCTGAACATAATACTACACAAACATTAGATGTTGCCATGGTTTAATTGCACATAACATGTAAACATTCACAGTGCAGAGAGGAAAAAGTATGTGAACCTTTGGAATTAATAACTGGTTGACCCTCCTTTGGCAGCAATAACCTCAACCAAACGTTTCCTGTAGTTGCAGATCAGACCTGCACAACGATCTGGAGTAATTTTGGACCACTCCTCTTCACAAAACTGTTTCAGTGTAGCAATATTCTTGGGATGTCTGGTGTGAATCGCTCTCTTAAGGTCATGCCACAGCATTTCAATCGGGTTGAGGTCAGGACTCTGACTGGGCCACTCCAGAAGGCGTATTCTGTGCAGTTGCAGCCATTGTTTTGTTGAATTACTTGTATGCTTTGGGTCATTGTCCTGTTGCATCACCCATCCTCTGCGGAGCTTCAGTTGGCGGACAGATCGTCGTACGTTTTCCTGCAAAATGTCTTGATAAACTCTGGAATTCATTTTCCCATCAATGACAACAATCCATCCAGGCCCTGAGGCAGCAAAGCAGCCCCAAACCATGATGCTCCCTCTGCCATGTTTTACAGTGGGGATGAGGTTTTGATGTTGGTGTGCTGTGCCTTTTTTTCTCTACACATAGTGTTGTGTGTTCTTCCCAAACAACTCAATCTTGGTTCCATCTGTCCACAGTATATTTTGCCAGTAGTGCTGTGGAACATCCAGGTGCTCTTTTGCAAACTTCAAACGTGCTGCAATATTCTTTTTGGACAGCAATGGCTTCCTCCGTGGTGTCCTCCCATGTACTCCATTCTTGTTTAATGTTTTCCTTATTGTAGATGTGTCAAAAAAATGTTAGCATGTGCCAGAGATTTCTGTAGGTCTTTAGCTGACACTCTGGGATTCTTCTTTACCTCATGCAGCATTCTGCGCTGTGCTCTTGCAGTCATTTTTACAGGACGACCATGCCTAGGGAGAGTAGCAACAGTGCTAAACTTTCTCCATTTGTAGACAGTCTGTCTTACCGTGGACACATGAACATCAAGGCTTTTGGAGATACTTTTGTAACCCTTTCCAGCTTCATGCAAGTCAACAATTCTTGATCGTAGGTCTTCTGAGAGTTCTTTTCTGTGAGGCATGGTTCACATCAGACAGTGCTTCTTGAAACCAGTAAACCCAAAACAGGTGTGTGTTTTTTAAGGGCAGGACAGCTGTCAGCAACACATCCAATATCATCACACTGATTGGAGTCAAGGTTGGCTCACTCCTGGCTCCAATTAGCTCTGGGAGAAGTCATTAAGCTAGGGCCTCACATACTTTTTCCTCCCTGCACTGTGAATGTTTACATGTTATGTGCAATTAAACCATGGCAACATCTAATGTTTGTGTAGTATTATGTTCAGCACACTGTGTTCTTCTATTGTTGTGACTTAGATGACCTTCAGAGCACATTTTATGCCCAATTCATGCAAAACTCCACGTAATCCCAAGGGGTTCACATACTTTTTCTTGCAACTGTATATTATCTGCTCATATTCAGCCAAATGCTTCAGAACTCATTGGACGCCGCTTCACAGTGCAGATGGACAATGACCCAAAGCATACTGCAAAAGCAACAAAAGAGTTTTTTTAAGGGAAAGAAGTGGAATGTTATGCAATGGCCAAGTCAATCACCTGACCTGAATCCGATTGAGCATGCATTTCACTTGCTGCAGACAAACTGAAGGGAAAATGCCCCAAGAACAAGCAGGAACTGAAGACAGTTGCAGTAGAGGCCTGGCAGAGCATCACCAGGTATGAAACCCAGCGTCTGGTGATGTCTATGTGTTCCAGACTTCAGGCTGTAATTGACTGCAAAGGATTTCAACCAAGTATTAAAAAGTGAAAGTTTGATTTATGATTATCATTCTGTCCCATTACTTTTGGTCCCTTAACAAGTGGGAGGCACATATGCAAACTGTTGTAATTCCTACACCGTTCACCTGATTTGGATGTAAATACCCTCAAATTAAAGCTGACAGTCTGCAGTTAAAGCACATCTTGTTCGTTTTTTTTCAAATCCATTGTGGTAGTGTATAGAGCCAAAAATGTTAGAATTGTGTCGATGTCCCA